GATTTGGGAGTTGGTTGGTGGCCTAAAAACGAATGCCTGTTTCAAAATGGTGCCGGAGAGATGGCTTAGTGGTTAAAAGCACTCACTGGCTACTCTTCCAGAGTACCTGTGTGACAGACCACAATTGTTTGTAAATCTAGTTCCAGGGGTTCCAATATTCTCTTCTTGCTCATAGGCACGAATCACACATATAACGTGCAGATATACATATAGGCAAAACATCTATACACATGAATTAAAATTTTTAAACAGTTTTATTTTATTTATTTGTTTGATTTTTGTTTTGATTTGTTTTGTTTTTCAAGACAGAGTTCCTCTGTGTAGCCTTGGTTGTCTTAGAACTAGCTCTATAGACCAGGCTGGCCTTAAAACTCACAGAAATCCACCTGTCTCTATCTCCTAAGTGCTGGGATTAAAGATGTGTGCCACCACTGCTGGGTGATTTTATTTTATTACCTTAAAATTGTTTTTATTTTGAGACAGGGTTTCTCTGTGTAGCTCTAGCTGTCCTGGAACTCACTGTGTAGACCAGGCTGACCTCAAAATCTGAGATCCACCTGCCTCTGCCTCCTGAGTGCTGGCATTAAAGGAGTGTGTCACCATGCCCAGCTAAAATAAATAAATATTTTTTAAAGAATAAAATAAGCAAGGAGTATGTGCTCATGGATTAGTTATAAAGTTTCTCCATTATCTACTTCTTATTCATATTTTAACATAAAATATCAAAACAACACAATTGAACACAAGTTGATGAGAAATAGTTGTCCTTACAAATCAGAGTCATGTTCATTTCTAGTGAGAGCAAATAATTATATCTCACTGTCTTTTTGTCTGCTGCCTTTATGAGAAAAAGATAGAGCACAGTTGAACAAATTTGCCCCAGGACTTATCCAGAACAATATACTCAATTTACTTTACATAATGGATACAAACCCAACATCCTGGGATCATCAGGTTAAAATGGTGATGATAAGTCTGACTCTAACTTGTAAAACATTAGTCTTGGCAGACATTTAAGCTACTATATGCATTTGTGTTTTTAAAATTTCTAATCTGTTGACAGTCTTTCAGTTAGCAGAAAAAAATCTGTAGAAACAGATCTCTCAACAGATTCATGATAAATTGGAGTTCTTTTCCACTGAGTATGTACAATTAATTGCAAGAGGTGAAATATTTTTAGTAATTCAAAGAATTAATTTCATAATTATCCATTCATCTTCACAGTTTTCTGCCTGATAAATTTATTCTAAATTCTTCCCTGGGTTCCTACTTAAATAATTAAATGGTAAGCTTTTATATTCACACAGTAATGCTGTTTTAATCTATTTGCTGGACAAACATGTAATGAGTCAGTCAGTACACATCAACTGCCATCATCTCAGAAACATACATCCTCTCCTCAATTTGTTTTCTAACAGATACATGATTTTAGTGTCAAATAGTAGAGAACTCTTTTTTCAAACAGACATAATAAAAAAGAAAGTAAGAAATCCAGAGGGAGGACCACTGTGCATAAGGAGTGATGGGATTCCGGCCGGTTCTTGGGACTCTGTAGTTGTTCCAATGTTGGTAAGATGACTGAACAAAAGACAACCCTCCTTATGGATGAGTATGCCTTTCTTGAAGTCCCTTCTCATGTCTTATTGTCCATCCCCAACCCACTCCCTGTCAGTGAGCTGGCTCTACAGCGCGGTAACTCTGACCAGTCACGATAACTGCAGCCTTCCTTGCATCAAACTGAGTCAGAAGTGCAAGAGTGAATCCCTAAAGAAAATGTGTGCTGTGTATTGAGGATGTGGCAGAGAATGGGTGCTAAGTAGGCAACCACCAGTATTGCTGTGAACGTGAAGATGTCTTCTTACTTTATTTCCTAAAGACAGCACACAAGGCCTGTGCACTGGCACTAAAAAGAATTAGTTTTATTTGAAAAAAAAATTCTTCTGGAATTACCCTTTAACTATAGCATAATTTTATAAAATTGTCAGCAGTGTTATAAACAGCATTTATTAGAATGTTTATAAAATATAAGATTAAGAATAAAATGAGTTAAATTAGGAATACATATTAAACTGCATTCATTCGTTAACCCAAAATATTTTTAAGACTACTAAAGTCTACCAAGTACCCAGGATATAGTGATGAACAAAGGTAGCCACATGCTGTCCTCATGCTTTTAGTCTGGAGGTAGACAAAGACATTTGTAAAAACAGCGCTTAAATGTAGGTGGATGGTGCAGGGAAATCTTCTGAGATGAGAAGCAACCGACTGATGGTGGGAAGCGCTCCATCAGAGAACACAGCATAGGAAAAGGCTCCAGGGCAGAGTGAGCAAGATGCATTTTGGGAGTAGGAAGGTTAGTGTCATGCCAATCAGGCTGCATCACTGTGACATAAAACAGAGGAAGTGTTGTTTTAGTTCATAGTCTGTTGTTATTTCTGGCCCCACAGTCAGGCAGAACAGCGTGGTGCTGGGAGCATGTGGCAGGGGAAATACTGAATAGGTATTAGATAGCTTAAAGCTTAGAAGATAGTTGAAGATGAAAGTATTGACATGGGGGTTGTCAGATATGTATTTGTCTAATATAAATGGAAAACTGAAGGAAGCAAATACAGAAAGGGAATAGATACAGCCCCAAGCACATGTCCCTGGTAATGTGTTTCTTCCAACCAAGCTCCACCTCTAATTAACCATTTTGGGAGTCCATCAAGGGATGAATAAATTAGAACAAAGCCTCAGAAACACATCAGTTAGCAAGCAAGTCCCCATATGCGATACCTTGTATTTAGACTACAGCAGCATGGGATGTGACTTAGAAAGAAGCTTGCAGACTTTTTCTTCCTTGTCATCTGAAAGCCCTGAAAAGTCATTTAAAGGATTTGAGTTAGGAAAGTAACAGAGGGTAACCAGGTTAATAATTTTAAATAGATGACTTTAATGTTTGGTAGAGAATGAATTGAGCATGTCAGAATAGAGGCAGGCAACTATTAGCCAACTATTGTAAGGGTCCTAGCAAAGCACAAGGTGTGTGTGAGTTAACATCTATATGGACTTGTATGATTTTTAGAAGATGAGAAATGACAAGCCTTGTGATGGCATGAATGTGTGACATGAGGAACAACAAAATGTCCTGGATTGTGAGGACAGCTTTTACCTCTGGGTAGACACTTTCCCTAGAGCATGGGATTCTAGAGCACTAGTCTCGCAGAAGGATGAATAGTTTTCAGTATGGGATATGGTGACCCTGGAGCCCATTTCACACAGGCAGCAATATTGAGTAGATATTACATAGCCTAGAGCTTAAAAGACAGTCTCAGGATGAGTATTCTGTTTGGGAGTTGCCAGTATACAAATGGAAGATGAAATTTCATGGCTCTGTCTTAAGAATGCCTTAGGAGAAAAAGTAGAGCCAGAAAAAGCAAGGCCTAGGGCTTATCATGAAAGACTGTTGTGAAGACAAGATTCACAAGCCTATAGAAAGGAGCAGAAGAAATAGTGTTTAGGAGGAGAAAGCAATCAAATGATGCTCATAATTCAAATAAGTGAGAGTTAAGAAACATCTTTATCCTCATCTGTAATCTTTTTTCTTTTCTTCATATATATATATATATATATATATATATATATATATATATATATATGTTTTACAAGACAGGGCTTCTCTGTGTAACATCTCAGGTTTCTCTGTGTAACACCTCTGGCTGTCCTGGAATTCATTTTGTAGACCAGGCTGGCCTTGGACTCACAGAGATTCTCCTGCCTCTGCCTCCCGAGTGTTGGGATTTTAGGTGTACACCACCGCCACCTGGCCCGGGGAGGGGGTATAAATCTTTGAGGAAGCTATAGTTGGTAAAATGAAAGCTAGAAAGAATGGCTTGAGAGTGAGTGAGAGAAGAGGGGATGTGAAGAGAGGCCATAGGCAACTCCCTGAAACACCCCTGTGAAGGGGGAGGGATGGCTCCAGGGACATGTGGAGCACAGGAGCCATTTAATTAGCAGACAGTAAAGACAACGATGAGCAACACCAATGAGAAAAGAGCAGCTGCAAATACTGGACAGAGAACTGGTGGATAATTCTTACTGCTTAAAATGCCAAGAACAAATGCTGTTGAAAGCATACTTGCATTACACGAGAGGGACTCCTCTCACTATATATAATATAATTGAGAGAGAAAGACATTGGCTAAGGAAGTAGGCTTGTAGCTTTGGCAGGATGAAGAGGAGGCTCAGTCTTTTCTCTATGTAGTTCATACAACCCAATGGAAGAGGATGGAGAAAGGGAAGCTTGGTGGAGGTAACAGATGGGGATGGGGAGAAGCATACACTGTGCAAAGTGAGAGAGATACGGACAAAGAAATGAAACTGCAGTGACTGAGCAGTGCTTATGGACCAAGGAGGATGCTGAGGACTGTAATCATACCGGTATGTTCAGTTTTGTGACTTTCTTCTGTGGCACGAGGCTTCTCAGTATGTATATGACAAGGACAGCAAGATCCACTCAGATCTAGACTTTTGTGACAAATGTGAACAAGGAAGAGTGACTTCAGTGAGGAAAGGTGGTGGGTTTGAATAAGATTCTAGAAAGAATGTGACAGATAAGAGAAGTAGCATCTTCTCACAGTAGAATAAATAAGTGGTGGGCATAGAAGGCATCAAGAGTAATGTGAATATCCCTTGGAGCTTGAATGCATAGCTGTCTATCCAATAGTAACTAAGCAGTCTGCTGTTGGCTGCATGCCCTACCTCCCCCCTTTTCTTTCCCATCCTGCCTCCCTACTTCTCCCCCTTCATTCCTCTCTTTCTTCATCCTTTCTTTTTTCATTCTTTTAAAATACTTCTGCGTACTTTTAAAAATCAACAATTTAAATTCCTTATCCATTTCATATTCTAGAAATCAACAAATTTTATTTTTCAGTGTAATTGTAATAACTGTTTAGAAATCATTTAAATGTATATTTGGTTTAACCAGAGCTTAATATAATAAATTATTTTATCCTGTATAGGTTTTAGATGCCTGCACAATGAAAATGAACCTAGACTCACAGGCCAGATATATTTATGATATGAATGGTAAAAAAATTGAAGATATTTCAGAAGGTAAGTGACAAATATTTTGTAACTCCTGTGATACGATTTTGAAAAAAATTTATAGAATTTTCCCTTTAAGCATTTTATAGAAAAGAAAAATCAATAATTTAATTGTAGCATGGATAAACATGGTATTCTTGTACAAAGGGACACTGTGTGTAATATTCACTGTGTGAAAATACCTTTCAAGGGCACCAGGGTTGTAAGAATCTTTTTTTTTTTGCCACAAGTTTTAGTTATTTTTAAAGCTGAGCATTTAAAATTTAGTGAATCATGAGTAAATAAACAATCATTGACATATCTGGGAGCCAACATTTAAGAGAAATTATTGGGCCTCAGGGTATGGCTCAGTGGCAGTGCTTGGCTGTGCAAGGCTGTGGGTTCAATTCCCAGAGAAAAGGGGAAGAGGGGGAGGAGGGATGGAAGGAGAGCGAAAGGGTGAGGCCAATCTCTAGAGGTTATTCAGGTTGTTTTAACTTGGTTAAGAGGAAAGATTTATAGTTAGAAATTTGGATTTATTTTTTTTTTCCATGTGTGGCAAGAAATGGCTTCTCTGCAGCACTCAGGCAGGCTGAGGCAGGAGGGCACAAGTTTAACCACTAGTCTGCACATGATCTCAAAAGAAAAGATTAGTGACCCACATAGTGAAGTAGCCACAGACACTGCTGCCTCATGGCTGCCAGAGGCGTTCAGATGCATGCCTCATGCTTTATGGGTCCCAGAAGTGTGTGTGCTGTTATCACATTTTAATGCACGCCTCACTCTGTGTTTTTGCATACTTATAAAAGCTTATGTCAGCTGAAATCAGCTTATGTGGCTACTAACCCTGGACTTAAAATACTTGAAGAGACTAATCCAATTGGAGGAACTTCCAGCCTTTAGCACTCCTCGTCACTTAATAGTAGGTTCTAAGAACTGTTTTTCTTTGTTATTGTGATGTTGTGCATTCACTGATTAGAGTCCCTAATTTTCTGTTGATTATCTTACCAACCTTGACTTAGGAATGGTTGATTTTTATGTACAAGATAACTTCTAGTTTAAACAAATAAATACTAATACTCTTGATTTCCTCTGGCTTTTTTGTTGTTGTTGACTTTGTATCACATCAGAAAGTTATCTAATAAGGTCTAATGTTAAGTTCACAGCAGGTTTCTCTCAAAAGCACAGATTAGCAGTACAGTTGTACTAGTGGTTAAAAGCAACAGGTAATTCTTTTCCTGCCTCCTACTTCTCTTATAGAATTATGTCTACTTTCAAACATCCCTCCTGTGTTATGAGAAATGAGCACATTTGTCCAACTTTTTTGTATCTTAACTACTCTAGCAGATTAATACATTTTGATGAATCAGAAAAGCCACTCTTCCTGTCAAGAGCAAGGCCACCAGTCTCTTAGGACCTTTATGGGGGTGTCTTTTTAACCGACTGTGCTTTCTTGAGGACCATTCTAGACCATGGTGGGTAGTGTTGAACTTACTCCAGTGAGTCAGAACAGTGTATCAATTAAGCAAGTCCAAGGCTATTCTGTGGCCAACAGAATGCTCACTGCCTATTCCATTTTCTATCCCATATCCAATGACAATGTCCAAAATAACTGTGCTGTGATTATTTATTTGTGTGTCTATTTATGCACATGGTCATGTATGTGTGTAAGTGCATATATGTGTGTAGACAGGCGGTCAGCTTTGGGTGTCTTCCTCAGGTCCTCTCTATGTTAGGTTTTGAAGCAGTGTGTCTGTCATTTCACCTGGAACTCAGTAAGCAAGACTGTAGCCAGCAAGGCCCATGGCCCGCCTGTTCCACCTCTCCAGCAGTGGGATTACAGGCACACTGGACAGTAACCTAGACTGTAGCCAGCAAGTCTCTGGGCCTGCCTGCTCCACCTCTCCAGCAGTGGGATTACAAGCACACCGTGCAGTAATCTAGACTGTAGCCAGCAAGTCTCTGAGCCTGCCTGTTCTACCTCTCCAGCAGTGGGATTACAGGCACACCATGCAGGGCCCAGGATTTTACATAGGGAACACAAACATCAACTTTTTGTAGAAAGATTAGAATTTAAAGGTAAAAATTCCAAAAGAATCTAAACAATTCAAGTCAAGGCAGAAGTAAATTCCAGGCTCAATTTACCTTTGTGGATGAAATTCAGTAGAACTTCCAACTCCTAAAGTTAAGGCACAAAGAATGTGAAGTTCTTCATTTTCAATTGCTGCAGTACCATCGAGATGTTCTTCTGATGCTGGATTTCCAATGGAATTCCTCCAGGAGCCAGTTTCTGGGTTCCTGGAATGGGTGCCATCATTTAGGTTCTGAGAAGTCAATTTAGGCCTACACCAACCTTTTCAGGCCCTCATTATGCCACCAAACAAAATAATTAGAACATCAGTACCACACCCATCACATTCAGAACACACCTAGTACAAGAAACTGGACATTTCATCCAAGAGTACATTTCTAGGACCCAACAATTGGCACAATTCAGACCCCAGGAACATGGCAAACTCTAAATGAAAGAGTACAGAGGTGAAGAAATATTGTCTGTCTGTCTTGCCAAGATGACAGTCAGTCTACGTAGCTGGTCAGAGTCTGTGGCCTGAGATGTACCTTGGGAAGCTCTTCTTGTTAAGTCATGGTTTATGGTTTGATAAGTGTACAGTGTCCCCAGGAGAAAATGGACTGATGTACACTGGCTCCTGTCTCAAACAGCTGGACAGAGTATGGTGAAGTGCCTTCAGTGTGAATTCAAAATCCAGTTTATGTAAGGAAACTGTTTCTATATAGTTTCTATACTTTATAAACTATATAGAAACAGTTTCTATCAGACATTGGATGGTTAATTAGCTTCTTTGAGATCAGTTTCCTTATTTGTAAAATGGATTACAGTAAATATTTTCACAGGTTGTTTTAGGGATTAAGTAAATTATACATCAAGTCCTTAAATCAGCATTGTATAAGACTAGTTTTTATCTCTATCACTATCAAAATCATTATTCTCTAAGAGAGCACTGACAGTGCCCTGTGCTTGCAATGTTTGGAGGTTTGCCTGGGTAGGCACTCCAGTGTGGTTGAGGCTCTGTTCTCTTTTGTGAAGTGTTCCTCACATCTTAATGCTCATTTTTGTCTTGGTCACTAATTCTAGACCCATGCTGAACTCAGAGTGGTTCTTGTCTGGTGGCAAAGTGCCCAGTTTGTTTCAGAAACACAATTTTCACAAGTGTGTTCTAGCAACTGCCACATGGACCTCTGCCCAGGGAATCATTAAAACTCAAGGAACCCACTTCAGCGGCATGGGTTCCTCCTTATAGTCACCCTTAAGGAACCCACTTCAGCGGCATGGGTCGCTCCTTATAGTCACAATCACGTCTGGCATAATAACTTCAGGTCGAGTTTTGAACTGAAACCACTATTCACGTTTTCAGTCTCATGTTCTCTAAGGCCTTGATGAGGACCGACCTCAATGCCTTCTCCTCCTGCGGCGTAGCGTCTCCTCAGCTGTTCAGCGTGTCCGGCTTGACTTAGTATTTTGATCTGGTACGTTTCAATGCAGTGTTTCATATACCTGTTCTTTCCAGAAGAGTTTGGAGTTAGCCTTCTTTTTCCCTTGGCTTCCTGCTCCATGCTTGCACTATTTTGACATAGGTCTTGAGTTATTTTTTATGTGGTGTCTCTCATAGTAAGAGACATGAAGAGAATATATTTCAAGCTTGCCAATGGTATCCTTTGTTCAAGTCAGTCTTACTCATTTTCACTTCCTTGAGGTCAATAATCCTGCCAAGGGTGGCTTCTCTCACAGCCCGACATCTAATTTGGATGTGGAGTTCTTGGTCTATTACTCCCCTGCCTGTAGCATGACTTATCTGGTCTTTGTCTTCCCTTTGTCTTAGGACCCAAGTTTGTGCAATGTTTTTTCTTGTGTAACTTGTACCAGTCTTCATCTCTAATTGTTTTATGTCCTGTCCTCATTAAAGAGTCCCAGTCATTTGTACTCTAACTTGTCTGTAACATGAACACCACCTCTTCACAGTTTTTTATACTCAGCTTTCTCTGGGGAAAGACTCAAGCTGCTTTCCAAGGACTTATAGAGAGTCCTTTTCTTTCTTTCTTTTTTCAAATAATTTTTTTTATTAAGAGATTTTTCTATTCATTACACACCAACCACAGATTCCCCTGTCCTCCCTCCTCCCACCCCAGCCTTCCCCCACAACCCACTCCCCATTCCCACCTCCTCCAAGGCAAGGTCTCCCATGGGGAGTCAGCAAAGCCTGGTACATTCAGTTGAGGCAGGTCCAAGCCCCTCCTTCCTGCACCAACGCTGCACAAAGTGTCTCACCATAGGCACTGGGCTCCACAAAGCCAGCTCATTCACTCGTGACAGGTCCCAGTCCCACTGCCTGGGGGCCCCCTAAACAGTTCAAGTTAAACAACTGTCTTGCTTATCCAGAGGGCTTAGTCCAGTACCATGAGGGCTCCTCAGCTATTGGTCCACAGTTCATGCGTTTACACTAGTTTGGCTAGTTGTCTCTGTACTTTTTCTGGTCATGGTCTTGATGTCCCTTGCTCACAGAATCCCTCCTCTCTCTCATCGATTGCACTCTTGGAGCTCCACCTGGGACCCAGCCATGGATCTCAGGAAATCCAGAGAATCATCAGGTCATACTTCAAAAACCTGTACTCCACAAAGTTGGAAAATCTGAAAGAAATGGACAATTTTCTGGATAGGTACCACATACCAAAGTTAAATCAAAACCAGATAAACTATTTAAATAGGCCAATAATCCCTAAGGAAATAGAAATAGTCATTAAAAGTCTCCCAACCAAAAAAAGTCCAGGACCAAGTGGTTTCAGTGCAGAATTCTTCCAGAATTTCAAAGAAGAGCTAATTCCAATACTCTTCAAATTGTTCCACACAATAGAGAGTCCTTTTCTTAACTGAAGATGATAAAATGTTCTTTTTAGAATAAGTCTACCATTTATACATGAGCCACACTTTGGGTTTATGTGATTTAAAATCATGA